TGATGATGATGATGATGATGATGATGATGATGATGATGATGATGATGATGATGATGATGATGATGATGATGATGATGTTCGTTTATCCAATACCTATTTTATAGTAAGTAATAGCGCGTAAATCTTGTCGATTATAAATACTTACCAGCCATTGCATATTTATTTATGATCAATTTATAAAGAAAGCTTTGTTCTTTATCATCTCTAAAATATCATTTATCGGACGTAACATGATTCCTTTTTATTTTCCATTTATAATGACGCGTAAAACACTTCTTTATAAATGATGGCATTTTCGATTGATATTAGTTCCTAATAAATAACACTTTTGTTTCAAAAGGAGAATTAATTACCTTCATAGATTTTCAGAAATACAAAAATAATCCGTCAAAAATTTACGACATGATTGTTGTACATAGAATTTTATAAATAGTCTTAATATATAGCCGTTTTTATCAGATTAAAATGTTGGGATAAAGAAAGAGGTGGATCAGAAAATTTATTCAAAACGGAATGGCAATGGTTTTACGTTGAAAAGAAAAAATAAATTTATCACATGACTATCAGTCATTCAAGGCCATTATTACTAAATCAGGTTTTTACACTTTAACATTATTACTATGTATGAATTGATAAATTTTTTTTCATTAAAAAAATATTATATACAATTACTATCGTAAGAGAAAAAGAAAATATCAAATTTTTATGATGGAGTGATATCATAAAACAATGCACATTCAGTAGTTCCACCTTCCCATCCTCTATTTCCTGAAGTTGTGATCATATAACGACACGTTTGATCAACCACTATATAAATAAAGGTTTTAAGAAATGTAATAATAATACGCAAAAAAAACGAGTCTATCTTTTTATATACATAAAATTTTTTCACTTTTGTGATAAAGGAAGGATACAAATTTGGGAAATTGAGCCACCGTGATGTCCTGGTATAATTAAAAATGGTACAGCACTTTTAGATATTTCATATTCATCTGGAAAAACATTCCATAATCTAATATTATCAGTAGAAGCACTATATAAAAATAGATAAATAATGCAGAATTCAAAAGTTTATATAATTATAAAAATAATTTATAAAAAAAAAATTAATTAATTAATAAAGCATGCTAACCATACTATATGTTTTCCATTAGGCATACTTAATACATAAGACACAGGACCGGAATTACTTGGCATCTTTAATGATCTTATAAATTTTCCTGAAAGAAAATCCCATTCATCCACTTTATTTAAAATATAACAATAATGGTATTCAACTTATTAGGTTTAATTATTAATTATATAATTGATGATTTTAAATAATACTTTACCAGTACCATTACGTCTTCCACAATATATTTTGGAACCGTCAGCGCTCCAACATGCCTATATTAATAACTTATTTAATGGTATATTTTTCATAAATTATATATTATATAAATAAGTATTTTCTAAATACTGCTTACAGATAAACACCATGGAGGCGTTTTTTCAGGTGGAGGCATTTTTCTAGGTATTAAATTATTTGCTCTCCTATCCCAAACAAAGCAGTTACCATCAATACTTGTAGTTAGCAAAATATCATTAGAATTAGTTAATGTTTCTTCTGGACCGTCATATGGAGTTGGTGAATTTTGTGGTGATGATAGTTGAGAAGATGATGGAATTATTGGACGAAATGAAATAGAACTTATTTGCGAACTATGACCTGAAAATTCACGTTCCACTTGACCGGTATTAAGATCCCAATACTATTTATTATAAATAAATCATTATTATTAAATGTTATTTAAAAATAATGATCTTTTCAAAAAGTACATACTAATACAGTTTTGTCCCATGAACCACTAACACATCCAGTTTCTTCTTGGGTTATTTTCAATACTGATACAGGTGCTTTATGATGTCTTAAAACATGATGACATCTACCTTCTTCATGCCTAACAGTGTATAAATTTATAGAGCCACTCTAAAGAATGTTCCAAATAATATTGTCGATTTACTAATTCATTATTAATTATATTATGATCACATTTAAGTGTGACTATAGGGAAGAATGTAAATACCTCTAATCCACTTAACAACCAAATTGCTTCTGATTGTACTGCTATGCTGTAAACTGATGATAATTTTATTTCGGATGAAGACGGTTCTGATATATTTTGTGATGTACCTTCTTCACCATTACCATTAACCTTGTCTATATATTATATATTATTATTAATTTAAAATTAGATATTTTTTAAAAATAAATAATTCATTTATGTGAATAAATAAAATTAACCTGATTTAGGAGTTGGAGGTGGTTGCTCTTCATTTTCCCAATATGACACAATAACCCCTGCCTATGAATTAAAAAAATTTCATTTTGGAAAAAAATGTTTTATATTTTATTATTATATATTGGATAAATTTAATACCTATCGCACCTTTTGGACAGACTCGACTTGAGTATGTTTCTGATTTTGTGTTAATAATGTTTTACCACTCATTGAGGCAAAAAAATCATATTTCCTTATGAACCCATCATCGCCTCCAGTAAAAACCCAACGCATATTTTTTGTAACATCAAGAGCATGAACATGACATGCGTGTATTGCAGCCACCTAAATAATAAGGTAATGTTAAAGTTACTCGTGGAACTTATACAATTATTATTTATTACATTGTTCTTACTTACATAAGGTACTATTTCATAACTTTTACAAGTGTCGGCAAAAGGTTGAAGTTTAGAAATCGAAGTGGTTGTGTTGTTGTTGGTATGTTCATTGATGGTAAAAGAGGAAGAAGAGGGTCCGGCTTCATCAATGACAGGTTCTTCTACATAACTTTTAAAGTTAACAAATTTTAACTTGAATTTTTTCAGAAACTAAACCAACAAGCTACCGTCTGAAATAGGCGAGCGTTCATGTACTTCTCCTTCGTTTTCTGAACTTTGTTGTGATTCTCTAGAAGATATTTCATCTTCACTATAACCATCCATTTTTTCTTATAAGAACGACGCGCAAAGACTATTGTGTGTTATTATTGATTGATGTAAATAAATATATTCTAAACTTTGTGCAGATCATCAATCAAAATTTTTTGATAAAATAGTTGAAACAAATTTGTAGAATGGCAACTGTTTTCAAGGCAGCCAAAGCTCAAGTTGATACAAAAACAAATAATGATAATAATAATAAAGAAGAGTCTAATGAAAAAAAACCTATTAAGAATAAACAAAGAGTCCTTGCATTATCTACCAGAGGAATAAATTTTCGGTAATGCGATTATAAATTTTTTTTTAAACATTGTAATAATATCATTAAAAACTTTTTTTTTTTGCTTTTATAGGCAAAGACATCTTTTGAATGACCTTGAGACCCTTTTCCCTCACTTTAAAAAAGGTAATGTAAAATTAAAATATCGAATCATAAATCATATAAACAAATCATACAAATCAAAATTGATCTAATAAAATAAATTTAGACTCAAAACTTGATCAGAAATACAATCTTTCAGTTTTAAACGAACTTGCTGAATTAAACAATTGTAATAATTGTGTTTTTTTTGAGGCACGTAAAAAACAAGATTTGTATATGTGGACCAGTAAGGCACCTAATGGTCCTAGCATCAAATTTCATGTACAAAATAGTAGGTTTTTTAAATATTATTATTATCATTTAATTAAATCAAATGAATGTCTTGGAAAAAAAGACTAATATGTATATAATTGATTAATAAGTTCATACAGTCGATGAGCTTAAAATGACAGGAAATTGTCTTAAAGGATCTCGACCAATCCTCTCATTTGATAAAAAATTCGATTCAGAACCTCATTGGATTTTAATAAAAGAAGTTTTCACACATGTAAGATAACATCTTTTCTTGATTGGATAGATATAACTATTTTTTTATAATAAAAACTTTTTAACCTTTAGATTTTTGGAGTACCAAAAGGTACTAGACGTTCAAAGCCATTTATAGATCATGTAATTTCATTCACAATAGCGGATAATCGAATTTGGTTTCGTAATTTTCAGGTATTATTTTATATGAGTGTGCATATACATGCATATGTTTGCGTGACAATTATTTTGTTTTAAAAAATACTTTTATTCCTTGGTAACAATAGATCACCGAGAAAGATCCTACGCATCCTAACAAAAAACCTAATGAAAAAGACATTTCTTTGTTGGAAATAGGGCCAAGATTTGTTATGAATCTTATTAGAATTTTTGAAGGAAGCTTTAATGGAGCAACCTTGTTTTCAAACCCTGAATTTGTTTCTCCTAATGCAGTAATGATATTATTATTATTATCATTCTTTATTCATTATTATATTTATTATATTCATTTTTTAAAAAAATTTATTAGATTCGCCGGAGCCTTAGAATGGAAAAAGCGAATAAATATCAAAAACGATTACTTGCTAAAAATGAAAGAAGATACAAAATTGACAATAGTGATTTACCTGAAAACCCTATGGACGATGATTAATCATCTTAAAAAAGGGGATTTGAATATATTTCTTTCTTTTTGCATGCACTATATAAACTATTAATAATATTATTATCCTTTTTAAAGTTACAGAAAAATTAAATAATTAATAAAAATTAAATTTACATTAAAGCCTTTAATAATTAAACAGACAATGATTCTATTAAGGGTTAAATGATATGGTGTGATTTTTAATTAGCCTAAGATAGTTTTACAATAAATATTAAATAAAATTTGTAACTGCAGCCCTGCTGCATCAGTTCTAAAAGATGATTTGTTTTTACGACATTCCGGACTCGTTCTCCATTTTCTTCCATCAATAATACCAGCATCCCATATATGAGCACCAATATTTTTTGCTAGAGTGATTGTGACATTTCTGACTTGTTGAATAAGAGTTCTTGTAGTGGTTTTGGGGTGTGGTGTGAGTGTGTAAGGTTCAGGGGTACGAATTATTATGAGGGAAACAGGATAAATTTTACGAAGCTTATTGAAAAATAGAGTCAACACCTGTTCAAATCTGGATATTGAATAGTCTGCTGGTATATCATTTGACACAGAAACCAATACAACGTTTTCTTTAGGTATTTGATCTTTCATGAAGTTTTTTGATGATAAACTTAACCATTCCAAATTTTGTATTATTTTCATTGGTTGAAAATAGATTGAACCATCAAATGCTGTTGATTTAAGATGTGCAAAGGGTAATCTTGGTAAAAGTGTAAACGGTGGAACTTTGCAGTCACACACAGGTAGTTTATGGTATCTCGCCACACTACACCACTGCTCACCAGCATGGCCTACTGATGTGCCATATAAATTACTGATGAAATTTATAAATTAGAGGTTGACATATATGAATAAGTAAATTTATTTTAAAAAAAATTTTTTATATATACAAACCTCCAAAGTATTTCATCGCCATATGCATGAATTGTATGATTTCTCATACAGATCAATTGTTCCAATGGAGAGACATATTTCATTTTACATTTTGTGGGAACATATAGAATATCATCATCAACCTCCATCATTGATTCGTAATGAGCATAAGGATGAAAGGAATTATAATATTCTTCAGACATCCAAATTCCAGAAAAATCAGAATTAGCATTACAAGATGGTAAAGTATTATTTGGAAGAAAAGATCTATTCTTCAATGTGACTATTAACCTATTTTCAGATTGAAGGTAAATCTTATAATTTTTAAAATAATCGATTTCCAGATCAACATTGATTAAATAATTTCCAGGATATTTGATATAAGTTAATCCTCTGAAAATATTTGAATGATTTTTAGTTTTTACCATTGAAATAGGTTGAACAATTTGATTACTGACTATCCTTGCAAATATGTTATAAGGAGTGAACTTTTTAATTAATATTGATTTTTTAAGAATACTTTTTGGTAACTTTTATTCCCCCCCACAAAAAAAATAAATAAAATATTATATAAATATTAGGAAAAAAATTATATGAAATACTATTTAATGTTAATATATATATACTCACTGCTACTATAATACAAATAGGAGTTCCTTTATGTATGTTTTCAATAACTAAAAATTTCATTTAAAAAAGAAAAGTCTTTAATTATTATTATTATAAATATAAAGTTTTAAACAGTTTGATCAAGCTTGAAATCTTTACCTATTTCTCTACTATCTGTTACAAAATCATTTTTATATGTATATGAAATAAATGGTTCTGTTTTATTCCATAATTCGTTTCTAGAAAAATTTTTGTCAGATTTAATACATTATTAGTTAACAATCCAAAAAAGAAATGATTGATAGCATACAATTTTATAAGATCAAAAGAACAAGGATCTTTGTAAAGGTTTTTTTTCTTTTTAGCGTTGGTGTTTGTAGTTGTGGGGGGAAATTTAGTTAAACTCTTGTAGCCCCGTTCTATTAAAGAAAACTCGAATTGATAAAGAAGGAGGGAAAGTATAGAGATCGAAATTATAATAGATAAAGTGAATAAACGTTTTCTGATCGATGGTGGTAATAATAAATTTTTATAAAGTTTGTGTGTTGAATTAGGAGGAGGAGGAGGATGTTTTGTGATAGTCATATTTTTATCAATTATTAAATCTTTTTGAAAAGTTAATTTTTAAAAAAATGTTTATGGTTAAATTAATATTAGAATCGTGATCTTTTCTATTATTAGATTCAATATATTATTATTCATTGTATTATCTTGTGAATGCGAAATTGGAAATATTAATTTCGTGTCCGCCGATCAACGATAGAAACTCACTATAGTAGTAAACCTTATTACACTAATCAGGAAGGTCCAAATCCTCCCTATAACTAATTGTGGCTTCATAGAAAGTCATCATTGCTGCTGCTGCCACCAGCTAGACATATTCTGCCACAGTTAAAATGGCAGCAGAGATGTCAGTAAGTCCCCCTTATAAATGGATCAGGTCTCTCCATAAGTGTTTGTGTGCGAGCAAAAAATGTCAGTATAACGAGATTGTCATTATTATTTTTATTAATTAAAATTACTTTATCATTGTTTAATTAGCCATATTAGTCAATGTTTATAGATTGTAACCTATTGATTATTATTTAATCCATCAGGAAATTAAAACTTACGCCAGATCCAAAGCTGGAAGACACAATCCCGTAGAATTAACAAATAGCAAAATAATTAGTGTCATGTTGAGTGGATAACCCATCATGTATTTCATTCAAGTATAAAGCCTCAGGATTGCTGTTGCTATTGCTGGTGCATCCAGACCGCTCCCAATTTCTCATTCTACTTTACCACCCTTCTCAGGAACCTATAAAACTAAACAAACCACCAACACCAGTTAATATATACTGATCAACACTTATTAAACATTCGAAAAGATCCAATAAAAGTCTCTCCTGGTCAGGAAGATTAACAAAATAATTGGACATTCATTATATGATGTTCCACTTGTCAATTTATGGTTATAAATAATTTATTAATATTTTCTAAATGATAAATTGAAAAACTATAATAACAATCTGTTACTATATATTATATTATAATAATCAATAAACTCAACTCTAATTAGAAAAGATATATATAAAGAAAATCTAAAAAGAAAATCTAAAAATTAAAAACTTTCATCCCATTCGATATGAAACATCCTGATTGAAAATACTTCTCTGAGAATTTGGTTCTATACGTTCATCCTTGAGAATTCTACAAATAAATAATTTAAAATCAAGAACGTATTTGATTATTTAATTAATAGAAAACATTTTAAATTTACCTATTGTCTATTCTTGCATCATCTCCTTCAATTCCAATACCAATCTGAGGTGTTTTGGCTTCAAGTACATAATGGTTATCACAATGAGGACAATATTCGTCTACTTCATCAAAGTCTTCCATATTTTTTCTAAATATCTTTTTACACTTTTTACAAGCGAATACCATCTCAGCTGCTTTGCGAATTGCATGATCTTCCATTTCTGAATGACACTCTGCACAATCATACCATTTTTTACAACATGGTGCCCTGATAGAAACCTTTTAAAATAATTTAGTTAGTTAAGTATTTGTAAAAATTTGTGTTTATAATATGTTATTATAATAATACCTGTGCATTTAATATATGTTTACACATTTTTGAGAGAAGTTTTTTTTTTTTTTAAAAAAAATAATAATGTTCTATATAATTTCGTGTTACATTTTAAAGAAAATTCTTACCACACATATATGTACTAATAGTCCTAAATTTTGGGCAAATTGTAATGCAAGATATTTTTTCAATTTGTGTATATATAATATATATACTTTGCAACAATAATTTTCGTGTTACAATATTTTGAATCTCACGACCAAATTTGGTAATGATTTTTTTTTAATGTAATATGTTAAACTTTTTTGTTGTAAAGAACTTTTATTTATTAATAAAAAAAAGGAAATAAATAAATCAAATAAATCAAATGTATGTTGTAGAAAATATTCTATGAAAAAAAAGTTGTTACACGAAATTTACTTAGTCTCAATTTCTTAAGTGTATAACAAAATTCGGAATTTTCAAAATGCTAAGGCTCAGCCAATTTTCAGTTTAAGAAAAAACCAGCCGATAAGTTTTGAACAATAAAACTTATCGGTTAAATTTTTTAAAATGATATAATTTTTTTTTGTTTTAGTATTTTGAAGTTGAAACATCACGGGAACACTGGAACCACTGGAATCGAATCAAGATTAAATAATAGTATAGAAATTGAAGTTGATGCTGATGATTTTATGTATTTTATATTATTGTTGGATTAATTGCAATAATTAATAATATTTTATTTTGTTTGTTTACGATCTTGCAACAGAATTGGACAATAATTATGATACATCTATTACATCTCCTCCATCTGAAAGTTCTAATTCATTTGATATTTCACATATAAATCCCAAATAAATGATGATATATATTGAATCAAGTTCTTCCATTCTTATGCAGTTATTGGTGAACCAAAAGAAAGTCTATTTCTATTATTATTAAATTAGTTACATCTATATTGTCTGGTGAAGAAAGAATGTCAGCAATTATTAATGGTGATTGGATTAACATTATCCCAAGCTTCTGCAAAAAATTCTATGGCTTTTTTAATATTCAATTTTTTGCCTTGTTGTTATATATAAATTAAAAAAACATCATGTATTTTTCTCTTAGTTGAATCAAAATAAATAAAACATTACTTATCTTTTTTGTTGTTATTTAATCCTTTCCTTGAATGTGAATGTATATGTCCATTACAATATTCATGAAGATCATGTGTTATTATTGTTTGAATATATTCCTTTTAAAAGAATTAGTAAACAAATTGCATCGCCCAAATAATGATAATATCAAGACCATACATAAATGAAATTTAAGGAACTGTTTTTGAAAAAGAATTACAGGTTGTAGGGTTCTTTAAAAACAATTTCCAAAAAATAAAATAAATGAACAAATCTGATATTGATAGTCAGGGTTAGCATTGGACAACAAATATCTTGGACATTATCCATATATTCAATGTGTATTCTTGATGATGGTGGTTAGGTTGGCGATGTATTCGGTTAGGGTGGTTGATTGTCATTTTGAGTTGGAGTTGCTCAAGTGGATGTTGTGATTGTTTGCAATGTTGATCTTGATCCTACGTTATGTGTGGATTATTGTCAGCATGAGATGATAGTGGATTTGGATCTGCAGGCACAGGATAATATTTGTGTCCAACACCAACCCTGATCATAGGTGTCAGATTTGATAATAATAAAATTTTCCTTTTGCAAAAATGTGATCGGGTGCTCTTAACACATCCCTTGTCTCTAGAATTCTTTCTACAGATGAAACACCTCACATAATTTGAAAGGCTTTGGACAAGTGAGAGGCTTTAACCAGTGTTGGAATTTGGTCATTAGCTAGGCCAACATTATTAGCCAGAATGGTCAAAGAAACCAAGATATGAAAAATGATTTTTAAATCAACGATTTTCCACGAATCATCCATGTCCCAAAAGTCGGTCTTTTAAAAGAGTCATCCCATTGACTTGGGCATAACGGTTCACTAGTGGTAGTTGGCGAATGCCCAGATGCAAGCAGCCAAATGCCAACACTGGCTTTAGCAGTCTTGACGATGATGCAGTCAGAACTCCAGGGCCATACTACCCCCCCCTAGAATTATTGCATTGTCATATCATCGGGGGATGAGGTCAGTTTAGCCTTATGTATGTACGCGAGGAAGAGGTGAATAACTGTAGATTTTCATAATCGAATGGATTGTTTCTTGGTGTTTCAGATTGTCTGGCAGTTTCCAATGTGTGTGTGATCTTTGGTTACGTTGATTTTTTTCATCTGTCGCTTCTTATAATCATTTAATATTATACAAATCGTTTATGGTGATATATAATTATCCGTAATGTAAAAGACGCTCCACATTTATGACATGAATATGAAAAAATAAATCTTTGGCAGTTAGTTAAAAAACATGTCTTCAAAACCATACCTTCGCGTTCTAAAAAAAAAAAAAAAAAAAAAAATTTAAAATTGGGGTTCGTACAACGCTACGCGTCTTAAATAATATTTTAACGCCCTTTTGTTCCTTTAAAAAAAATAAAAGAAATTTTAAATTTTAAAAATGTCTTTTGAGTGCAACAGAGTCAGGAGAATAAGACAGAAAACTACAGAACTAGCTGATTCGAATAAGTAAGTATTGAGCCTTTCTTGGTGTGGTGATTAGTTTATCTGCAAATTAATAAAAAAAAATTTTTCTTATTTCTATTATTTGATTTTGCAAAAATACTTGGTCCCAGTCCATCCTCCTCATTAACATATGGTCATGAAAAACCACCAATCATAGTTGGTTTAATATTGGCCAGAAATGATC